TGCAGCGCCGCCGTGCGGCTCGCCGCCTCCGCGCGCTCGCTCTGCGCCGGACCGTTGCTGGAATAATAAAAGTTTAATTAACACTTTGTCCAAATGATAGTAAATGTAGAATATGTTATAATAACGTGGCTTTTTAATGGTGAAATCATCATATCCTCTGCCTTATCCTACTCCTGCACTGGGTTTTAGTCCTCCAAATAACTCTATCATACGTCATCTCATCACTCCCTTTTTGATCATGTCACCTTTCACGCAATCCATTCATCTCTTTCTATGTCTACAGTTACCTGTGTACCTAGACTTTGTGTACTAGACTATCCAACATCTATGACAAATTTCATCAACATCCAGTTTACAGTAGCTGCAACTAAACTTTTCACTTTCTTTTAAATATTTGTCAATTAGTGTGTAATTTAGGCTTTTGAAACACTTCTATACATCTCTAATAGTAACAGGATATATTTGAATTCTTTTTTGATTTTAAAGAAGAGAATCTTCTAGAACTCTGTTAGCATTAAACTGTATTTAATGGATTATTAAGGTAGTATTACTATAACCCCCCAAAAAACAGGGTATTTTTTGAAGATACCCTGCTATTTGGTAGAGAGGGTTATATCCCAACCCCCATAACAAAAAAGGTAAAATTATCCATTTACCTAGATGTAGGCTTGATATAAACAGTGTAGTAAAGTAACTCTCCATTTGGATGTTCAGGTGGCTTCCAGCTCACGAGCAGTGAAGTCGGCGATAGTACTAAAACTTTGATATCCGCTGGCGGATCAGGAACTGGAAAATTTAATAGATAACGTTAAAAACTTGGTCCTTCGAGCAGTAAAAATACATATGAGGCTTAGCAAATTATAAATAATCACTTGAAAAGTCCAAACTGTAAGAAATTTAACGCAATTTAACATTAGTTTTATTGTAAATAGTCTAAATTGCTATAAATAGCTTTTATATTTTCTTTAGAAAATAAATGAAAAAGAGCAAGCAATGTCTCAAATTAATTAGAAGTACGAGGCCGGCAAAGCGCCAATACAAGTATCACTTAACATCAGTATTGCTAAAGTAGACAAATAAACACATAATATGATATCAAATTTCATAATATGCAAATTATTGAAAGCGCCACAGTCAAAAATACAAAAAACTCTTCTATAAACTAAAACTTATTTACACAAAACTAACTGAAAAGTATCGATCACATCTCTTCTTGTAATACGCTTCCTTTTCTTCTTTTGTTTTCATCATTTATTTTTAATTTTTACGGACGAAAGGAGACTACATGTGACAGAAATGCGAATGTTAAGATGGATGTGTGGGTTAACACGAATGGATAAGATACGAAATGAGTATATTAGGGGACGTTTGAGAGTAGCCCCCGTAGTAGAGAAGGTAAGGAGTAAAAGGTTAGGATGGTATGGGCATGTTATGAGGAGAGATGAATCGCATGTTACAAGGAGAACGTTAGATATGAGTGTGGAAGGGTCCATCGGTAGGCTAGAAAGAGATGGATGGATTGTGTAAAAGGTGACATGATCAAAAAGGGAGTGATGACTGAGATGACGTATGATAGAGTTATGTGGAGGACAAAAACCTGTTGCGCCGACCCTACGGGAGTAGGATAAGGAGATGATGATGATGATTTATGTTTAATTTAATCACATGACTCAAAATTCTTGTTGGCCAGTATGCACCTCTTTGGCTGTATTCAAAGTCAAAGAGGTTGTATTTTGCACAGAACATAGACTATTAGTCTATTATGGTCATGGTCATTGACCAGTGTAACTTGAAACGTGATTAATATGAGCTTACCATCCTGCAAGGTGGCGCATACGATTGGATACGAGTAGGGTCCAGGCCCGTAGTTGGAGTATCCGGCCACTTTCACCGTGTAGTTTGTATACTTCATCAGAGCTTGTAAGTACAACTCCGTGTGGAGTGACGTTTGGTTCTGCCAAACATTATCTGGAAGTATATATTTACATATTGCTTAAAAACTACAAGTGATTTTTTCACGTTATTAACTTAGGGAGTAAATAAATTGGAAAAAAAACCGTTACGTGGGAAAGGGACCATAAACTACAACCAACACAAGGAAACAAGGTTATGGTAACGGTAATTTTGACATTTGCAATTGAGAATTTAACAAATGTAAACAATAAAATGAAGTTTTTACAATTTGTGTATGTGAACGGAAACGCGGGTGAAAGCTAGTGATGTATGATTGTTACCTTCAGTAGCGTAGAGCACGGTGTAGCCGAGCAGCGAGGAGGCGAGCGCGGGCGCGGCGAGCGGCTGCCAACCTACGCGCAGCGAACTTGAAGATATTGCCGTACATTCCACTGACGTAGGCGCGTGTTCCGGCGCTGAAAAATTTATAAATATAACACGTTAATTCTGACACCAATTTAGTCATAAGTTTTATATGTAAATTTTAGCTTGAACTTGAAAAAAAAAATACAACAATACAATAACAATACACCCACTCCCTAGATCCCCGAATAAAATATGTTAGGAGAACAAGGCATAGAGCGACCATAAAAACATCACGTAAGTCACTTTTTGGCTATTTTGATGTCATTCGCTAAATAATCGGAAGACGCATCGTTTCTGCCTATCAGAAACACGTATTCTATATAGCTTTCACCCGCGACTCCGTTCTCGTGGGATTGAAAAAAACAAGAGTAAGTAGTCAATGTGTTCTTCCAGACTATCCATTACAACTTTGCCAAATTTCATCGAAATCCGTTCAGCCGTTTATTTTACAAACTCTAACAAACATCCATCCATCCATACACCTAAACTAAACTTTCACATTTATAATATTAGTAAGATTAATTAAGTGATGTTACAACAACGACGAAATGCGAAAGTTGCGATGTTTGTTAAAGTTTATAGCCTAAACTGCGGCATTTATAGATGTAAAGAATAGTCTGGAAGAACACTTAGGCTACTTTTGATTGAGCAATTCCACGCGGACGGAATCGCGGACAAAAGCTAGTTAAATAATAATTTGAGGTTGATATTTATTAAGAAGAAGTAATTAGCAAAATAATTACAGATTAAGATATGTAGAATACAATGAATATAGCAAATAAAATAGCCTTAGAAATTTTTAAATCCTAGCCTAGCCTTATCTTGTATAGTTTTAACTCATCTTGTACGTATTTCTAATGTTTCTATGATTTCAAAATTAGAAGCTATTACTAACTTACCTCCTTCCATAGTATCTTGGAACACGGGCAATGAAAAGGGTCCAGAACCAGCGCCGTTGAACGCGGAAATGGAAACTGCGTATCTGAAAGTTGATTTTAAAATAAATTAAAGGGATTATTCCCAACCGTCACCCCGCTCTTTCCTCACGTGTGGACAGATGAGACTATTAAGTTTCATCCGTCCCGCTGTTTGCGACGAGGGGGACGGTTGGAACTTATTTTATTTCATAACGGTTCCATCTGTCACCTTGTTGGTGATGGAGGGACTAAAAAGTGGAACGGATAAAACTTTTTATTCTCACGTGGGGATGAGCGGGTGACGGGTGGTAATAATCCACCTAAAGACAGAATAATAGTAATATAAGAAATGAACATCGTGTATAATTGGAAGAGATTATTTTATTTACTAGTTTTTGCCCGCAACTCCATTTTTTTTCTTTTTTTTTAATAACAAGATGGGAAACGAGCAAGCGGCAACCTGAATCCGCCAAAATGGCGAAGCGACCGCTGCCCATAGACATCTGCAATTGCAGATGCGTCGCCTACCCTTATCCGACGGAGGAGGAGACGCGCATAAAGAGGATATTACCTCTTCCTTTGCATCTCCTCCATCGTCAAATCCACTTCCCATACCATCCTCTCATAAGAAAAGGGTGGTAAAGAGAAAGGGGCTGAAATTAGGCCTCCGGCACCACACTCATCAGACGAAACACGGCATTGCTTCCATTTGACGGCTGTCTTCTGTGTGGTCGTGGTATTACTGGGGGCGTGCCCTGCAGTGCTAAGATGTTAAAGCGGACACTACCACTGTTAAATAAACCAACTCTATCCGGGTGGAATTTATACAAAAAAAGTATGTATTCTTCTAGACTATCCTCTATCTACATCTATGAATTTAATCGAAATACGTTCAACAGTTTAGGCTACACACAAACATCCATCTAAATTTTCGCATTTATAATATTAGTATTAGTGTGTGTTTTTATTTTACCTTGTATTCTTCAGCAGACCACTTATTTTAGTTTCCTGTTTACCAGACTTTTGCGAAACTTTCAGTGTTCTTGTGTCGCTGTCCTCTGAATCTGAAATTTTAAAATTTCTCTTACGATTATCTTACAAAGGGAAATAACAACATAACAAATATTAAAGAGGGTAATTTTTATTTGGTACATATTGTAAAAATGTATCAGCATTGGGTAAAATAATTGGTATATCTTTCTTTATTTCTATAACTAACTAGATGTTGCTCGCGACTTTGCCCGTGTGAAATTAAAAAATAATAAAGAGTTTAGTCTTTGTTACTCAAAGACAACTGTCTTTAATGGTGAAAGAATTTTTGTAATCGGCTCAGAAGTTTTTGAGTGATTTCTATACATACAAAAATCTTTCCTCTTTATAATCATCAGGAGCGTCGGTGGCTCAGTGGTTTAAGCACTTGACTTGTAATCTACAGGTCTTGGGTTCGAATCCCGCCATGTACCAATGTGATTTTCGAT